CAGTAATAGTCGCTTAGAATAGAAGCCAACATGCTTAGACTAAACCTGGCAAGCCCAACAACAACAAGAAGAGAAATTCTATTGATGCTGTTGTGGAAAAGGAAGAATTGCCAGATAGTTTGCATCATTTGTAGCCACAACTGGGAATGATGATAAGTCTTTACATATTGTACATCTGTTTCTAATATTGCATGAATAATTGATTCTGGTGCTACTGATCATATGACATTTGATTTTAGGCATTTTTTTAACCTTAAGTCATCCTCACAAAACTTTGTTTCCATTGCCAATGGTGAATCTAACTGGGTCATTAAGGAAGGATCATTAACCCTAGAAAATTCTTTACACTTAGATTTTGTCTTAGTTGTCCCATTCCTAAATTTTAACTTATTGTCAGTATCCAAAATAACCAAAGCCTTACCTTGTGTGGTGATTTTTTTGCCTGAATTTTGTGAGTTTAAAAGCATTAAACTAAAACAGACTATTTGTTGTGGTATTAGATGGGGACAACTGTATTACTTGGATTTAGAGTCAAAAAGCTCTTCTAGGTTATAGCAGGCTTTGACAATAGATTACTCTAAAAGAGATAGACAAAAATCCAACATTTGATTATGGCATTGGCGCCTTGGACATGCTTCATTCGGATATCTGAAGAAACTTTTTCCAAGTTTGTTTGGAAAAAAATGATATTAATAACTTCCGCTGTGATGTTTTGAACTATCAAAAAGTAATCGAGTCTCATTCCCAATAACATTAAACAAAAGTCCAAGTCCTTTTATGCTTATTTATTCAAATGTCTAGGGGCCATCACAAGTTACTACTTTAGGTGGATCCCATTGGTTTTTTTACTTTTATTGTAAGATATGTCTAATGAAATCCAAAGGGGTGGTTAATTTGCTCTTTTAGAGATTTCACAAAAAGGTTCATACACAGTATAATGCATAGGTTCAAGTCCTCTAAAGTGACAATGGAGGAGACTATCAAAGTTCAGATCTTCAATAGTACTTGGCAACACATGGTATCATTCATTAGATTGCTTGTCCCTACACACCCCACAAAATGGTGTTGTTGAGGAAAAAAATCGGCACTTATTGGAGGTCGTTCATGCCTCATTAATACAAACTCACATGCCATTATCTTTTTGGAGAGAAGCACTTACTTCTATAGCCTACCTAATCAATTGGGTACCCTCTAGTTCTATTGGGTACTAGACACCTTTTCAATCTCTTGGTAAAGTAGTGAATGCTTCAATGGTCCGAAACTTACCGCCTCATGTTTTTGGTTGTATTGCCTTTTTCACCTTCATAAACAACAACACAACAAGTTGTCATCTCGTGCATTGAAATGTGTTTTCGTTGGGTATGGTGTTCATCAAAAGGGGTATTGGTGTTATCATCCTCAAACTCAACAAATGTTTGTAATGATGGATGTTATTTTCCATGCAGAATTGATGTTTTTTTCTTCCGAGTCTAAACTTCAAGGGGAGTATTGTCAAGAAGAAATTCAGACTCTTAACTATACTGTTCAAGATGTTCAAGATGTGGGAGACTATGAGTCACAAACTAGACCGGTTGTTCGACAAAAAGATGATATGAATGATGAAAATGTGGAGATGGTATCAAATCCATCCGTTGAAACCTCTCAATCCGAGTCTCTCATTCCTCGTATGTCAGAACCATCATTTGTTAAGAATGTTCCTGATTTAGAGTCTGAACCAATTGAGTTTGAACCAATTAGGAAACAGTTACCATCACGTGGTACTAGAGGGATTCCCAAACCAACATACGAACCTCAACTATCTAGTAAGGTCAAATACGTAATGAGTCATTATGTGTTTAACCATCATTTATTAGAATCGAATTTGCCATTTGTGAATTAATTATCCATTGTATCTATTCCTAACAGTGTGTAGGAAGCCTTACCTAATCCAAAATGGGAAACTGCTATGAATGAAGAGATGAAATTTTTACAGAAGAATGAGACCTGGGAACTTATTGATCGTCCACTAGAAAAGAAGACTGTTGGATGCTGATGGGTTTACACTATGAAGTATAAAGCTGATGATACAATTGAGAGATTCAAAGCTAGACTAATAGCAAAAGGGTACACCCAAACCCATGGGATTGACTATATAGAGACATTTGCCCCTGTAGCTAAAATCAACGTGGTACATGTTTCATTATCTTTAGCTACAAACCTCGATTGACCATTACAACAATTCGATGTGAAAAATGCTTTCTTACATAGAGAATTGTCAGAAGAGATCTATATGGATCCTCCACCAAGGTATATTTCACCAGAAAAGCACAGCCAAAAGGTATGTAAGTTAAAGAAATCGCTATATGGGTTGAAGTGATCTCCGAGGGCATGGTTTGGGAGGTTTACAAAAGCTATAAAGTCGTTTGGCTACCATCAGAGCAATTCAGATCACACATTGTTCCTAAAGAAATAACAAGGATCATCACCACACTTATTGTATATGTGGATGATATGGTGGTCATTGTAAATGATCCAGAAGAAAGAAAGGCTCTGCAAAAGTATTTGTCGAAAGAATTCGAAATGAAAGACCTAGGTTCTTTGAAATATTTTCTTGGAATCGAAATGTCTTGATCTAACAAATGCATCTTTCTATCATAAAGAAAGTATGCCTTAGATGTTTTGCAGGAAACTGGTATGTCAGCATGTCAATTAGCAAATACACCAATTGAACAAGGTTTGAAATTATGTATCAAGACTGATCAAGTACCAGTTGACAAAGGGAGATATCAGAGACTTGAGGGAAGATTGATGTACTTGTCATACACTAGGCCAGATCTTGCCTATGCATTGAGTATAATCAGTCAGTTCATGTATACCCCTAGAGAACAACATATAAATGTTGTGATGCACATTTTGAGATACTTAAAACATGCTCCTGGGAAAGGAATCCTATTTACTAAAAATACGGATTACCAAAATGTGAATGCATATACTGATGCTGTTTGGGCGGGAGCAGTGGATGACAGGCAATCTACTTCTGGTTATTTCACTTTTATAGGAGGTAATCTAGTGAGATGGAGAAGCAAAAAATAGAATGCTATGGCACGCTCAAGCGCTAAAACAGAATTTAGGGGAATGATACTTGGGATTTGTGAAGCTTTGTGGCTACGATTTCTCTTGCAAGATTTGGGCTATCAACCTTGTCAACCAATCCAGTTATATTGTGACAATAAAACAGCATGTGACATTGCTCAAATCTAGTTCAATATGATCGTATGAAGCATGTTGAAGTAAATAGATTTTTCATCAAAGAAAAATTGGATAAAAATATTATTGAATTGCCTAAGATTCGATTAGATGATCAATTAGTTGATATTCTTACCAAGGTTGTCTCCAAACGTATTTTCTCACAAGTTTTAGACAAGTTAGGCATGTGTGAACCTATGCACTAACTTGAGGGAGAGTGTTGAGATTTACTAAATATTTCCTGAATATATCGTAATCTTCTAATTTTGTTAGTTTTAGGATACTCACAAATGTATTTGGTATTCTATAATCTCCTAATTATGTCGGTATACTATAATTGACATAATTATGAGATTTCATGGATTGTAGACTACCTATATAAAGCATATAATTATGAGTGTAAATATATGAAAATATACCATTCTTTTAATCTACACACACACTATATATATATATATATATATATGTGTGGATGTGTCACCGATCTACCTAAGTCAACTAATATGATTCTTAAAATATTTAATAATGGACTGAATTGTGTTGAGCTTCATCTTGTTTGGGTTGAATTTAGGAAGGGCATGTGAAGTTTCTATTTTCTAACCTCCACCAACATAATCTAATCAGATTTTTCCACTCCATTCCTCTCAAATTTTTTATTTTTTTTATTTTTTGATTTTCCATATTACCAATATTTAAGCGAAAACATAATTTTATTGCATTATTCCTAAAGATCCTTTCGGAAACACGTCTAATGGCCACTGAAATTGTGAAATTCATCCTATAATCTTCTCCATTTTTGCAGATTTTTTTAAATAATAAAATTGAAAAACCGCTGCAATCAAAACATAGTTGGAGAAAAAGAAAAAGTGATGCAAAGATTAAAATAAATAGTCTTCATATTTATGAGACTAACTTTAAAATTCTTAGGTTCCAATGTATTTTTTTTCTCAAATTTATATTAGCATTTATCGTATCAAGAATGTTGATCAATTTATAATACTACACTTGTTAAGTTTTCATATAAAATGTTTGTATAAATTAAGTGATGCAGTTAAATATAAACAATAAAGGGAATATAAAAAAAATTTAACTCATTAATTGGTATTCCTTCGTTTGTAAGAAAATTTTGTGAGAATAACCAAAGTTATTCCTAGAAGTCGGTCCTCAATCACTTCACAGGAAAAATGAAAAATAATAAATATAAAAGTATTTACTTCGTTTCTTTGGCCGATTGATGATGTCTTCTGCCACTTTAAAAGGCACAAGTGACAAGCTGGGAATGAAATTCGGTGGATTACATGTCCTTAAAAAATATTCTCTTTAACTTTTCTAGAAAAACCTCGACGTACGAGAATAAAAACTAATTAATTATAATAAAAAAATAGCTTTTATTGTATTGATTACTCAGACAAAATATTCTTGAGATATTTTGGAGGAAAATTCACGTTGGTAAATGAGTCAAAAAGAAAAAGACAGTACATATTCCACTTTTCTATTATTTTCCGCTTATATATATTTTCTTTGTTGAGCGTTTGAACTGAAGAAAAGTTTCCTCCTTCTCTTTATTACTTTGACAAATCTATAAATAACTGATTCCATAGCTTTCTTTGAAGCAATCATTCATTTAGAACTCTAGTTGACAACAATATTCTGAAAAAAAAACTTTAATTTCCTGGATATTATTATTATTATTATCTTTTTTTGCCTGTTTTTTGTTTTAATTTTGAGAATTTGATTCATCTGTTTCGTTCTTGATTGATAATCAGTGGTAACCGATGGCTGCTTCTTCTTTCACTGTTTCTTCCACAAATCTTCAAGCGAAGCATCATGTTTTCCTTAGTTTCAGAGGCGAGGACACCCGCTACAATTTCACCAGTCATCTCCACAAAGCTCTGAGTCGGAAAATGATTGCAACTTTTATCGACAATAAACTCCAGAGAGGAGATGAAATTTCACCATCTCTTCTGAATGCGATCGAAGGATCAAAGATTTTGGTTATCGTTTTCTCCAAAGATTATGCGTCTTCGAGATGGTGCCTCCAAGAACTTGTGAAAATCCTGGAATGCAAGAACATGCATGGAGGGATCGTGATACCGGTTTTCTATCATGTTGATCCATCGGATGTAAGAAATCGAACCGGGAGTTTTGGAGATGGATTTACTGAGCTTGAAGAACGATTTAAGGAGCAACCAGAGATGGTGCAGAGATGGAGGAGTGCTTTGAGTGAAGCAGCCAATCTGTCTGGCTGGCCTTTGAATGACAAGACGTAAGTTTCTGCTCGTTCTTAATTTCCTCATTTCAGCTTCTTTCATTTGATTTGATGCCTAGGGTGGGCCAGTGTCCTCACTGAAAAAAAAAATATAAGACTTTGCAAATATATAATTTTTAAATTACATAATCGAATAATTAAGCTTAAAACAAAATAAAGAATGATGCAATTGGCATCCTACGGGCTACGGTCCTACCAATTTATCTATCAAGCCCCCTGTTGAAAAATAATTGTATATTACATATTTATCCTTTGATGAAATTACTAAAAAGAGTAAAAATGCAACCAAAAAAGGAAAAGAAAAATACAGAATTAAATAGGGTATCTTTAGAAGTTAAATTAGTCTTTAAATTTAAAAATGGGGTCATATTAGATAATAAGTGGGGGGTCAATAGCATCACTTCAAAATAAATAGATTAATAATTATAAAAAAAATAAGGCACATGTTATACAAATTTATTTAAACTTATTGCATGTAAAAAATAATTATAAAGTCCATATTTTTTCCTAAACTTAATAAATTATGTTTTTGATGTAAGATAAATTCTTTATTACCTTATTAATCATATTCTACTGGTTTTCCTTAATTTAGTTTAATTTACTTTTAAGAATTTACGATTTTTTATAGTTTTCTCATTTTATTAGTATAATTTCATTTTTTTTTCCTTTTTTTTTTTAATGTGCTTAACAGTATTGATAATGATGCTATTGTAAACCACTTTGAAAACATAAAAACACATCAAAGGCAATTATATATAGAGCAATATTAGTTTTACAAAGATAAATACAAAGGGGGTATACAAAGACAATCTATACCTTTGATTTTTATGATTTCTCTCTCTCTCTCTCTCTCTTTTTCCGTTTTTTCTTTGTTTTTTTCTTCTTACTGACATCACTTTGTAGCTCTCTTTATATGGATCTTTGTAAGGATAACATTTTTCTTATATATAACTGTATTGAATAAAAATATTATCAGTAATAATTAGAGTTTCAATATATATCATTATATTGAAAATTTTAAATTATATCATTTTCTAAATCGCATCCCCCCTTGAATTCTTGGCTCAGCTACAAGTCCAAAGTAGTTTTACAGTTTGAAATTTAAAACTTCATTTCGGTTTACAAATATGTTTATTGTTTTTTAATATTTGTTAGGTCTGAAGCTGAAATTGTGAAGGACCTAGTCGATGATATTTTGAGGAGATTGAGAAATGTTATATCTCCGAGTGATAACAAGAACTTGGTTGGAGTAGAATCAACTATCGAAGAATTAATTGAGTTGTTATTGAGCAAAGATGTTTGCACTCTGGGAATTTGGGGCATCGGCGGTATAGGTAAAACAACTATTGCCCGTGCTATATTCAATAAAATCTCGAATTATTTTGAAGGATTCTACTTTGCTGAAAATGTTAGGGAAGAATTAGAAAATCCTAATGGACTAGTTCACTTGCGAGAAAAACTTCTTTCTGCTATATTAGGGGATCAAAATCCCAACACGGGATGCTACATCACAAAAAAAAGGCTTGGTCTAATGAAGACTTTCATTGTTTTCGATGACGTAACAGATTTTCAACAAATAGAAGATCTAATTGAAGATTATAAAAGCATGGCTTCAGGAAGACGAGTCATTATAACAACCAGAAATAAACAAGTGCTAGAGAACTGCAAAGTAGATAGAATCTACGAAGTTAAGAAATTATCTCATCCAGAAGATCTACATCTTTTTAGCCGATATGCTTTCAAACAAAATCTCATCCCAGAAGATTATTTGCGGCTCTCAAATAAGGTAGTAAATTATGCTAAAGGTCTTCCATTAGCTCTAAAAGTGTTGGGTTCATCTCTAGTTAACAAGAGTGTAGAAGTTTGGGAAAGTACAATAAGTAAACTAGAAGAAACTCCTCCTTTGAATATTTACAAGGTGTTAAAAGTAAGTTATGATGGACTGGATGGTGAGGAGCAAGATATATTTTTAGATATTGCATGTTTTTTCAAATGGAAGGACCAAGATCTAGTAATAAAAATCTTGAAGGCAAGTGACTTAAAGGCGGAGTGTGGAATAAGTGTTCTCGTTGATAAGTCTCTCGTAACTATATCATTAGACAATATGATAACAATGCATGATTTACTTCAAGAAATGGGAAGGAAAATTGTTCGTGAAGAAAAGGATATTGGCAAGCGTAGTCGCTTGTGGCATCCCAAGGATACTCATCATGTGTTGACAAAAAATATGGTGAGGGCCAAAGACATAACCTTTTCATGAATTTCTATTTTGCACATTTGTGAGTCTGGTAAAACATTAGCTTGGAATATATCATTTTCATTTTTCTTCATGCGTTATTTGAGGTTTATAAATGCAAACTTATATGGTTTCATCTTGATTGGCAGGGAACTGAAGCGGTTCGAGGCATATGCATGGACATGTTTGAAATAAGAGATGTACACTTAAATCCTCTCACTTTCTCAAATATGCATAGTTTGAAATTCTTGAAGGTCTATGGAGCTGTTCATAATAAGGTGCATGGGTTTCAAGGCCTGGAATTTGATTTCCCAGAGCTAAGATATATTTGTTGGCATAATTATCGGTGGAAATCTTTGCCATGCAATTTTAATCCCGAGAACCTTGTTGCACTTGAGATGCGCTATAGTAATCTTGAAGAACTTTGGAGTAGTGTCCAGGTATATTTATTTTATATAACAATCTTATGTTTGTATATATCAGATTTTCTAATTTGCATTAGTCCTTTTTTTTTTGGGTTGCAGGTTCTTGTTAATTTGAAATACATCGACCTGAGTTACTCAGTGCATCTACGTCAGATTGCGGACCTCTCACAGGCCCCGAATCTTGAGAGTTTGATTCTCGAAGGTTGTACAAGTTTGATTGAGATCATTTCCCCATCCACTCGGAAGGTCAATAAACTTGTTATTCTGAATCTAAGAAATTGCAAAAGCCTCCATGGTCTTCCACCGGGTATTCATCAATCAAATTCTCTTAGATTTGTCATTCTTTCAGGTTGCTCAAATCTCAAAACGGCTCCCAAGATCTCATGTAACACAGAACAACTAAGTCTGGATGGAACTGCAATAAAAGAATTTTCCTCTACGAATGAACCACCTTCTAGACTAGTTCAATTCAGTCTTCAGAACTGTTCAAGGCTTGAAAGACTCCCAAGAAACTTTCATAAGTTTGAATCTCTCAAATATCTTTCTCTATCTTCTTGCTCAAATCTTGAGTCTATTCCAAAGATCCCACGCAAGATAGAAGAGTTATATATTGATGGAATTGCAATAGAAGAATTGCCCTCATCAATTGGGTCTCTATCCAATCTACAAACATTGAGTCTCAGGAATTGTTCAAGGCTCAAGAGTCTTCCGGATGGCATTTGTAAGCTAAAATCTCTCAAGTATCTGTCTCTCTCTGGTTGCTCAAACATCAAGACAATTCCAAAGATCTCATGTAAGATGGAGCAATTACATTTAGATGAAACGGCAATAAAAGAATTGCCCTCGTTAATCGAGTATCTATCCAGTCTAGTCACTTTGAGTATAAAAAATTGTTCAAGTCTTGAGAATCTTCCGGACGAAATCTGTAACCTGAAATCTCTCAAACATCTCAATATCTCTGGTTGTTCAAAACTCGACAGATTGCCTGAGGACATCGGAAATCTGCAAAGTTTGGAGGTGTTTGAAGCTAATGGAATTGCTGCAACCAAATTACCATCATCCATGGAAAGTTTGAGCAACATTCGTGAATTATCTTTTGAGAGATGGAAAGGGCAAGAGCTTGTGCGTTCTCTTTCTCCTATGTTATCAGGTTTGAAGCTTTTTAAGAAACTAAACCTGAATGACTGCAATATCACAGAATTACCCAACAGTCTTGGCGATTTATCCTTTCTGGAACATTTATATCTTTCTGGAAACAATTTTGAGAGCATTCCAGCAACAATCATCAACCTTTCGAAGCTATCGTCGCTCGACTTGAGCCACTGCAACATGCTTCAATCCTTACCAAACCTTCCTGGTGACATACAACTTCTGGTAGCAGATAGCTGCAAATCTCTGCAAACATTATCCGATTTGCCGATTCCAAGCCATGGCTATTTCAACGGTAATCTCAGCTTCATTAATTGCTTCAATCTGGACTGGAGAACGCTCACAAAAATTCTAGATTACGCTCTGTCAAATATGTATGAAAAGGCCTCTTACACTCACAAGAGTCCTTTCAGTTACATGTGTTTCCGAGGAAGCGAAATTCCCGAGTGGTTTAACTTTCAAAGTACTGCATCATTTCTAGAGCTCCCGGAAGGCTCGTTGAATCATAATTTCATTGGCTTCACCTTCTGCACCGTGTTATCGTTCCAGGATTATAAAGCTGGGACGTTGCATGTTAAATGCGAGTTGCTTCTGAAATGCGAAGATGGCTTGAAGAAAATGGGGAGCGGCAGCTTTTTAGCTTGGAACAAAGAGTATGCGCCCTCCCATGTCGAGTTTGATCATGTGTTTCTGGGATATGATTGTCAAGTGAATGATAAACCGGAATGGGATGAATTCCCTGAGGCCATTATCAAGTTCAGTGTTACAGATGAAGAATGCGTGGTGAAGAAGTGTGGAGTCCGTTTATTGTTCAGCCAGGAGGAATCAATGAATGAATCCAGATTATGTTTGCTCTCCGATGAGGATGAAGATGAGGAAGATGAGCCACAGTGAATAAGTCATAGCTCAGTTGAAGAAAAGAGAGCATGGTAGAAGAATTGTGGAGTTGTTTTTTTCTATTTTGTAACAGTTTTGATTCCAGAGTTTGAGGAAAAGAAAGTCAAAGTGGTCAAGCAGATATTAGGAAAGTTATGTATGTTAATTTCTTTTAGGAATCGCAGAAAAACTAGGTTGGATTTCGCACAATTCTAAATTATAAAAAAGAACATTTAATTCTTATATAAACTCTACTTCTAAATTTTCATAATTATTGAAACATTTTATTTTATTTTAAAGATCAATCTTGTGAAGAAATTAATCAAATTAATCAGACACCGAAATAATTTAAAAAGAAAAAATAAGTTTCAAATATGAAATTTAGAAAAATTGGTGTAATAAATAAGCCTTATTAAGCTTAGAGGTTATTTTCAGCATTAAATGGGTTTAAAGAAGTTTTCTTTTTTAAAAAAAAAAAAAATGTATAAATGCAAGCACTTGCAACCCTTTATTTTTGTTATTTTCATTATTACTTTTTTTTTTTTTCATGACCGAGAATATTCGATCCAGTTTGTGCGTACCTCAACTAATTCCTCAGGACTCTGAAAGTTCGACCAGATAATCCTTTAATAGAAACCCTTATTAGGGCTTAGATAGACTCGAACTCAGAAGCTTAAAGAAACTTCTTTTGTTCTTTTACCATCAAACTACCTAAGGTGGTTAACAACCCTTCATTTTGGTGTCGACAAAATTCTATTTTTTTGTAGTCTTAAATAGAATTTTGTTATTCATTTTGATATCATTTTCTCCATAGTTTTAAATTAAATATTGAGTTAATAACATTAATCCCCTGAGATATGTTACAATGACAAATATCCTTGTAAGGTTTTAAAAATAACAGAAATCCTTTTATCCTTAACTTTTAAATGTTAAAATAAACGATATGAAGGCAATTTGATAATATTTATCAACTCATAACTATGTAAATTTTAATGACTCATTAATAGTTTATTAACAGTAGTGGGATTTTTGCTATTTTGAAAACCTTAAAGGGAGTTTTGTTATTACATCATACCTTAGGGCCTTAATGAAAAGCACTTAAATATATATTTGATTAAACAAACAAAGATCTACTACATATTAAAATTTTCAAGGATACCTAAATTTAGGGTTAAGAATTTATGTAACCCTAAATTAAATTAGAAGTATATTGAGAATCAATATTGTCTGTTAACTGTTATAGTAATTTTATTTGAGGCTTAAATTGTACAAAAATAAAAATAAAAATAAAAATTAAGGCTATTGATAAAAAGAATCACTACCCCAATAAAATAAGCATGGCACAAAAGAGTCGAATATGGCCCAAACACAAATGGGCTTAGTAGGCTTGTCACAGAATGAACTTATTTGGATTGGCACATATGTGTTTGACATTTTAAAATATTTAAATTTAAACTTTTTTTTTTATAATAATTTATTAAGCGTTAAATTTTAAAATATTTAAGAAAAATATTTTTTTATTGAGTAATCTATGAGCCACCCATATTTTATCTCTTTAGAGGCCAGTTATTATTAAATTTTTAATTACAGTATTATCTCTTATGAAATTACTAAATAAGACATAAAAGAGTTATACATATCTAAAAATTTTATTTCATTTTTCAATAATAAACCTTAATTCAATAAACCTTAAATCTATTTTCAAATAATAAAGATAAAATTTATGCAATTGAAAGAGTTTGATCAAGATTATGGAAGCACTAACTTCTTAGTTTTATTATTATTATTGTTATTATTTTTTACCTTTTTCTTTTTCTGCACTTCTCCAAAATTTGTAAGTTAATTCAATGCATTCAATTATTATTCTTACAATCTTGGAAGCAAAAACTCATGTAAATGGATTTCATCTTTGAACATTCCATTCAAAATAAAAAAGCATAAAATATATTAAAAAAATAAATAAAATGGTAAGTTTGGAAGTAAGTGAGGTTTATAAAGACACTTGCATATACTGAGACATTTTGATGGGGTAGACCTAGAAGTGATGTGTTGAAAGATAAAATGTAAGTATCAATAGCATCACTCTATTTTATTGGAAAATTTAATGTTACCTCCTTGAATGACGGCCTAAACACAAACAATAAATTGTGCCAATCAATCCAGACACAATACTAATATTAACAATCTAACATGGCTCTATAGCCACGACACGGATGAGTCTTTCTTGTATATATACAATAAGAATAATATTATGTGCATTAACTAATTTGTATTAATTCAAGTACTAATATTGAAAATTTGAATATTTTTTTTTTTGAGAGAATTTCAAATTTTCAATATTAGTATTTGGATTAGTACAAATTGATTAGTGTACGACATTACTCATACAATAAACTAGATTGAAGGCCCGCGTGTTATACGGGTAATTTGTTGATATCTACTATAGAGTTACATGTTTTATATAAGTAGAAAACGCAAATATATTTATTCGATGTTTTTGAAATAATTTGTAAACAGTTTTATGGTAATGACAAAAACCACTTATATTCAGCCATAACAACTGGTAAGCATATTTTTTCCATTGGTCATATTATGGGGTTGTTGGATTTGGTAAAGATTAAAATTGGAAGTAAAATAAAGTAGCATGTAGAGAATCAAGTAGTCAATTTAATAGTGAGCAATCAGTAATTTAAAGTGAAATTTATTTAATATATTTTTATTATTAAAGAAATGTGTACATTGGTTTTTACTTCTGTCAAGTTGGTTTGGATGACGTAGATGGGGGTTCTTTTTTATTTTCCTTAAGATTTTTCAGTTCCTCTGCAATCAATGCACACTCCCTTGTGTTGCGCGTCCGTGCGTTTGTTTATTGCTTGTATTTGAAACACTTGCTAAACAACATTACATTAACGACAAGCGCCAATTATATTAAGTCACATGTAACAAAACACAATATTATATTTATTAAGAAGTTCATAATACATGATTTAAGAATGTAAAAAAAAACTCTTCGGATAATGTGAAAGTAAACTATAATAGATCAATAGATTTCTTAAAAATTATAACAATATCAAATGTCATTTTCATGCAATTTTATATTTCTTAAGTACTTAATGTATTTGATTAATAAGAACCATTTTTCGTTTTCGTTTAAGAAATAGTTCGGCAACTTGTTTACTAAAATTAACAATTGTTTAGCATATTTTTTTGAATGGGTAATATTAACGGTGATTGGTGGATTTGTTAAAGATAAAAACAATATGAGATGCCATTATTAGATACTAAGAATCATTTTACTTTTCATCTTGAATTATGGTTCAGCAACTGCCTTATTACAATTAAAAATTGTTCAGCATATTTGTTTAATAGGTAATACTAACAATGATTCGTAGATTTCTTAACGGTAAAAAAACAATTGTGGTTGGGCAGTGAGATTGTGAACTGAATGAGATCTTGATCTATTACAATCATAGATCAATCATGGTTTGACATTTGACTTATTACCATGTTATAGTCAAATTCACGGTTCGGCGGAGTGAAATAGAACTAATGCAAACCTTGATTTATTGCAATTATGGATAACCTATGGTTTGACAACCGGGTGCTCAAAATTTTATAGTTGAATTTTTGGTTCATCATCTGGTTTATTACAATTCATTAGTATAAAACGTTAGGGTTCAGCATTGAGATTTTGAACTTAAGGAGACCTTTGATCTATTACAATTATGAATAAATTATGGCTCGGTTGATGGCTTATTACAATTTTATAGTTGAATTTATCGTTTAGCATCTGGCTTATTATAATTCAATAGTACAAAAAGTTATGGTCCGGAAGTGAGGTTTTGAATTTAAGGAGACCTTGTGCTATTATAATTTTGTATAAATTATGGTCCAGGAACTTGGTTATTACACTTTTGTAGCACAAGTATAGTCAAATTAATGGTTCAATAGTGAGATGTTGAACTCAAGGATACCTTGATCTACCAAAATTCTATAGTACAATCATGATCGAACTTGACAATCTCAATTGTTCCTATATTGGTCATCTCCAGATTCATTTCTATAGTCAGATTAAGTGTTTGGTCGTGAGATTTTGAACTCAAGGAATCCTTGTTCTATTACAATTATGGATAAAATATGGTTAGACATCTGGCTTATTTCCATTCTATAGGCAAACTGATGGTTTGTAGTGAGATTTTGGACTGAAGTAGACCTTGACCAATTATAATTATGGATGATGGTTTGACAACGGGCTTCATAGAATTCCATAGACGAATTTATTGTTCGGCATCTGTGTCATTACAATTCAATAGTAGGCAATTTCATTTGTTTCCTATATTATACTTATATATTATGTTTTGGTATATTTTTATTCGAAAGATGGTCTCTTATTTATTTTAAGTTATGGTTCGACATCTGCCTCATTTATTTTATTTTTAAATGAAATGACCTACAAAATTAATAATATTTTACATTGTTTTAAATAACTTGTCATTTCTTTTAAGTGTAGTTTGACCATAATTAGAATGGTTTACAGTTATCCAAATTCAACATATAATATATCAAATTAAAGTCTCAACTATCTAGTTTCCAACGATTCAAACTACTCATCAATTGGAGTTTTATTGAGCAAGTTATGATCAATTTACTACTGACTATTCAGTGAAGCCCAGAAATAGAGGAAACCGAAATGTGTGTGATGATAAAATAAATGGTTCAGCAACAGATCTACAATTATCCAAATTTAGCGTATATATATCGAATTAAATACCTGTTTGTGTAGTTTCCAAATATTCAAACCTTTTATCCATTGGATATTTCTTGAGCAAGTTATGACCAATTTACTACTAACTGTTCAGTGGAAACTGGGAAACAGGGGAAATCGAGATGTGTGTGATGATATAATGAATGGTTTGGCAGTGAGTCTACAATTAGCCAAATTCATCATATAATATATCAAATTAAAGCCCTGTCTGTCTAGTTTCCAAATATTCAAACCTCTCTTTAATTGTATTTTT